CGGAACAGTCGCGCCAATGCCCTGCGCAGATCGAGCGGCGGGCGCAGTGGCAGAGCGAGTCGAGCTTCCCCGAGCAGCCACGCGCGCGCATCCTCTGCCCGCTTGGCGGAATCACGCGCGCCGATGCCATCCGGCCGCAGCGCCAGACGCGCGGCGCCGCCTGGGCCCGCGAACAGGGGCGGCGCCGCAAGACCGCCGCGAGGCACGCGGCCCCAATCAGCGGCGACGGGGGCGGGTCGGGGGCGACCAGCGAACTTCGCCAATTCCGCGCGGCGAACGGCGCGTTCAACGGCGCGCTGCAAGGCGCGCGGCGCGCAGAGGTCGAGGGCGGGCGCCGCGGACCGGGCCCAGCGCAGCGCTCGCAGCAACGGCGGCGCGAGGAACCAGAACGGCCAACTGATCGGGCGGGCCTCGGCCCGCGGCGGCCGCCTCGAGGTTCTCGGAACGCCGGCCCGCCCCGCTTCTCGAGCCGCGCCCGCGCGCCGAAGCAATGCCGTGCCGAGCGGAAGGCGAAGCGCTCAAGCGGATGGCCAGCATGAGTGCGCGACGCGCGACTAAGCGGCGGCGGCGCGGGCGATGCGCGGCGAAAACACAAGGCTAGCGGGCGCGCATATCGCCGCCGACGGCTCGAGCCGTCAAACGGAACTCGGCCGCGGGGCCGCGCCAGCGCGCGACGCCCGCGGCCCCCGGGCCTCGCTGGAAGCCGAGGCGCAGCAGGGGCGGGGCCGCTGCGAAAACGCTCCAAGCGGGGGCCGCCGAGGCGATGGCGTCGGCCACTTCGCGGGCCAGCTGCGCCGAGAAGGGGCCGCCCCGCGGGTTGCGGGTTTGTACTTGGCGACCTTCAATTGCGAGGTGGGCCGTGCTGGAGGCCTTCTCCGTCGCCCGACAGACGCGCGCCATTTCCTGGACAGCCCTCCAAGCGCCCCCGAGGTCGCCCGCGCAGGTCCGCGCGAGGCCCGGGCTGGGGGACTCGATCAGCCTCGCGAGGTCGACGAGAAACACGGCGGTGGCTAACGCATATAGGGCCCCCGAAAGCGCGCAGCCTTGACCGGCCCCGCGCTGAACCCAAAATGCGCGCGCCAAGAAGCTCCGGCCTGGGGCTCCGGCGAGCGGCGACGCATTCGACCAGCGAACGGAGGCGGGCGACGCGCGCCAGGAATGCGCCAGAAGGGCCAAGGGCCCTCGGTGCGAGGAGAAGGATGGCCTGGCCCAGCGAAGGAGAACTCGGGCCGAAATCGCAGGAGCAGGACATTGGCGCGGATTTCCGAGGCAGGGGGGCGGCGGGGGGGGGCTGGCGGACAAGGCGCGGCTCGAGACGTCCAGCCCAGGCATGCTGTTGCAGCAACTTCAACCAGGGGTGAAGCTTCACTGGCACCGAAGGATAAACGCGTCACGTGCAGGTCGGATCGCGCGATTCGTCGTGGCCGAGATCAATGTCAGCTCGCAGTTGTGGAGACCAAGAACGCGCGCTTTCTCCTGGCGCCAGACACACTGTGCATCCCTCAACCAGTGCTGCAACATGTCTCGGCAAGAGGATCTGGATCGTTTCGCTCGCGCTGTCGAATAGGAGCCTGGCCCCCAGCGACCCGCCCGAGAGCGCCCCGCAAGACGGCCCCCGAATGTCTGCAGCCAGCCGTGCTGCCCGCGGCCAGGCATCGGGGCCGCGGCGGCCAGGGGCAGCGCGCCCGGACGCGCCCGTCGCGCCGGGCAGCGCGGCGCGCGATGAAGGCGGGAGCAATGGCCGTCAGCGCGAGGGGCAAGCGATGCATCCCGCCGATTTCTCTGCGCCGCGGGGGACCACAGCCATCCGAGCTTCAGAAGCCCATCCCTGGAGTGGGCAACAACTGCGCCGTCTGGCGCGCGAACGCCTGCGTGCGAAATCCGACGGTTCAAAAGGGCCGGAGTCGCGCCTTCCTCCCCGGGGCCTGTCGCTTGGCACGAAGCTGGGGCCGATCGCCCTCTGCCATCCTGCGCTCCTCAAGCTCCTGTCTCGCGGGCTCCGCTGCGCCTGTCTGCGCGCGATCGGCCCCGACCAACAAAAAACTAACGGCAGCGCAACTCAGCATGGCCTGATCGGACTCCAGCCGCGCAGCCTGCCACGAGATGCGAGTTCATCCACGGACGCGCCAACTTCAGATCCTGGCGCCGCGCGGCCCTGGCGAGCGGGTGGAGGGCACGGGGCTGGCGAAAGCAATGTCGGCATACAGAATCATGAGCTTCAGCCCGCGCCACTTTCACGTCCTTCTTGCCAGTTTAGAGCATCGCGACTGGCGGCGCCGGTGCCCCTGCCGACGGTCTGCGCAAGGCCCTTGAGGCGCGTTTGAAGCTCAGGCTCCAGGAAGATATGTTTCGGAATGGTTCGCTGCTCAGCCTGGCGAACAGAAGTGAGAGCGGACGATGCGACGACGGCCGAATGGCCCGGGGCCATGCGTTCCGACACCTGGGCAGACGAGTCCCGGGCGGAAGCATGAACGCTTATCCAGCACAACTGGCGACAAACAAACGCGCGAAACAATCTGCCGATGATCACACCAATGTTAGCATGCTCTGTCATAGGACGTTAACAAATCGCGCTCGATCTCGGCCAACCTCGCCCGAGCCCCGCGCGACTTCGGGGCGCGGTCGCAGCGTTGGCCAGCACCCCTCCGCGCCGCGGCAACAGGCGCGCGCGGCGACGCAGCGTCGTGCAGAGTAAAACGGAAGCCGCCGCCGACGATCGCCCATTGCGCATCTGGCTCGTGGGTTGCCACGGGCCTGGCGTCCCGGATCTCGTCTTGGATTAGCTGCGCCTCTGAAAGCGCCAGCTCGCGGTTGCAAATGAGGAAGACATGCAGCGCCGGGTCAGCAGCTCGAGCATCCGCTAGAATCGCACACCCAGGAAAGAACACCCGCAGCGAAGTAGTTGGCCCCACGCTCTCACGAACAGCGACAGGAGGGAGAGCAACAGCCACGCCGCCGTTGATGCAGCTGTGGACATCGTTGTCGCAGAAACTGGGAAGCACGACGAACCCCTGCGCAATTGTGCGGAGGATGGAGGTGAGCTGGCAGTGGTCCTGGTGGACCTCGAGGTGCGATAACTTCGAATGAACACAACCGGGTCATATACTTACGCTTCAGAACAGCCATATCATCGCCGGCCTGAAATAAAACACTACGTTTCCAGGTAACACAACGCAGCGGCTGCCGGAGCGACCGTGGGGGCAGCCGGAAAAGCCGCGCAGCACTAAAGAGACCGCGTACTCGGAACAGCAGGCGCAGTGATCTCGTCCGTCGCCTGACGGAGCGTGTCCTCCTGTATGTTGTGCTTGCGACCCTGGGTGATGTCCCAGTGGATCTCCGGGGGGGGGAGTTCGCAGTGGAAGACCTCCGCTTGCATGACCTTGTCCCAGCCAATCGAAAAGGGCGCCGCGCTCCCAATCTGAGAAGTAACGCTTGCCTGGGTACAAGGAATCCACCAGCGCCCTCGCCTTCCAAAGGGAGGTCTCCGTCTTGAACTGATTGGGGCTCTTGTCGTGTCGGGGCCGAAGTGGACGCGGCAGCGCGCGGCGCCAGGTGTGACCCAGAGCTCCTTCCAGATGCATCCCTCCACGAGCAAGCTCGGAGATGTTGATGGCCGCCCTGCGAACGGTAGCGCCAGGGGGGGCCTGATAAGCGAATATCGGACCTCTTGACTGGATCCTTTCCGAACCGCTCGATGCTGAGTCCGCCGTCCTCGCAGCCCAAAAAAGCGCACCCGTGGAGCGGGCTCCAGCTACGCAGTGGCGATGGTGGTGAACGTCTGGGCGATGGCCACGACGATAGTGGCATCGATGACGCGATCGAAGGAGGAAGGGCCGTGCGCCACAGGTCGAGGCTGCGTTGCCGCACGTGCCAGCTGACGGCGAAGCTGGCCCAAAAGTTCACGAAGAGAGCCACTCTAGTCATCATGCTCGTCCGGTTTCGCCTGCGAATTGCTGAGGTGGGCCCTGTAATCGTCGATCTGGGCCTCGAACCTGCGCTTGGCCGCGCCCAGGTAGGGGGCGAGGGCGGACTCGACCTGTTGGTCGACCCTGGAGGACTGCTTGGCGACCTCTGCCTGCATGGCCGAGAACATGTTCAGCAACGTGGCGCGGCTGTCGCCGACAATTTTGGAGACGGTACCGCTGACCTCAGCGGAGATGTTGCAGGGCATGGGCTCGGAGTCCTCGCGGCACACCTGTCGAATATCCTCGTCGGGAGGTCGTCGGTGTCGCCGTCGGAACGAGCGTCCTGCTCAGCGTCTGGAGGAGAGGCACCAAGGCAGGAGAGTCCATAATCGAATCGGCAAGTCGGATCGGCGATCGACATGAATCGGATCGACGGGAGCCGGCAGCCGAGCTGGGAAAAGTCGAACCGGGAGACATCGGCTGGCTACTAGGCCTCCATTGGGCAATCGGATCCCAGCTCGCAATCCGCAATCGAATCAGATCGCGATGGAAATCCACCGAAATCGAATCGAACCGAACCGAAGGAATCGAAATGACGCTTGCGCGAGACAGCGCTTGCGCCGCCTTTGCCCTTGCCTCTGCCGCCACTCGCGCCCGCGGGGGGAAGGTGGGCGCCCCTCCTCGAGGGCCGCGGCGACGTCGCGGAGCTCCTGGGGGGGAAGGTGTCCGCCAGCGGTCGGATGCTGGATGGCCCTCGGTGGAAGGCTGCGTCAGTCAGAAGCGGGCCTGCCCCGAACTTTCACCAAAATGGCAACGGTTGGGAGAGGGGGGAGAAGAGGAGGAGTCCAACGGGGTGGGGGAAGAGGAGGAAGATGAGGAAAAGGGGTGAGGAGGGCGGTAATGAGAGGGGAGGTCTCGAGGATAGAAATGAAGGTCAGGAGGTGGGACCAGGAAACAGAGTGAATGAGAGTAAGTAAGCAGGTTAACAGGAGCAATAGTGGCATCAGAAGTGGGACGGACTGCAGTGCGAGGAGCTGGAGGAACACGACGACAGCGGTGGCAGAGCAGCGACGACGACGACGAAGGAGGCGGGGCGCTTCCAGCACTGAATCGAAATCTCCTCGGCAAGCGGCGCGTACCCCATCAGCTGGCTCCTCCGGGTTTTCTTGGGCGGACCGGGAGGACACGAGGATAGTAATGGTTGTGGTGATGACGATGCTGATGCTGTTGATGATGATGGGGTTGATGATGATGATGATGATGATGACAGTCAGCACGATGATGGTGGTGATGATAATGATGATAATGCTGGTGGTCATGATGATGACGATGACGATGATGCTGAGGATGCGGATGATGATGGCAGTGATGAGGATGATGAAGCTGGAGAATAATGTGGATATGTTGATGGCGATGGTGCAGATGAAGATGGAGATGACGATGATGCTGATGATGCTGATGATGCTGATGATGATGATGATGATGATGATGATGATGATGATGATGAAGAAGTGAAGATCAAGGCCCTCCTGCATGGGCGGAGGTCGACTCCGGCAACCCAGGCGAAGGGAGAGGGTGAGGGGCAGAGAGGTGGGGGGGAGGGAGGGAGAGGGAGAGGGAGATAGGGATGAGGTGAAAGCTGATGATGGCAGAGCCTGTTCAACGCATATTGACGCGTCTCGGTGTTTTCTTGTGGTCGGACCGGGGGAATATGGAAGTGGGTGGAAGACGGGGGGGTGACGAGGACCGTTTCTCCATCCTCCTCTCCCCCTCCCCCTCCTTCTCATCCTTCGCCTTTCTTGCCTCCTGCTCCTTCTCTTTTCTATATCTCTCTCTCTCTCTCTATCTCTCTCCTCCTGCTCCTCCCTCCTCCGTCCTGACGCAACCGCCCCCCACCCCGTTCGCACACCTTCTTCATCCGCCCTTCCCTTGCGCCCTCCCACCTCCTCCTGCTCCTCCACACCATGTGACTGGAGGTGCATTGGGATAAGTTTCGACTCATTCGAGCATATCGTAATATGCAAACGGAGCAGGCTGAGATAACTCCGCCGACCCTGTCGGCGTGTGTGAAACGTTGTTCTGTTTGAGCCGTCGTCGTCGCCGTCGCCGCTACCTCCCCTTCCCTGTCCCTCGAGCAATCAAGCCAAACAAGGATACTCGTGTCGTGATTCAAGCCAACGTTGTTCCTCTCCCTTCAAGCCTGCTGGCCCGGGCAAGCCAACGTTGTTCCTCTACCTTCAAGAACAGAGTAGTAATCCCACCAGCGCACCTGGACGTGAGTGATTTCGCGGGTTTTCTTTTCCAACTCCCCTTCTTCACCTTCGGGGAAGGCTTTTCCACTGCTCGCTATTAGCACCCCTCTCCCCAGGCGCCCAGCAGTCAACCTGGACCAATGAGCCCACCCCCACCATCCCTGGTAAAACAACAATGCAACAATGCATTGTACCTCCAAATCTGGCGCCTGCGCGGGCGCCCCTCATCCATTTTGCATTGGATCTTGACAGGGACGGCGGAGGTGCCAGCATACTGCTTTCTGCGCGCAGGCCACCCATCCATCTCAAAAAACAATGCAAAACAAACACCTTGGCTCCAAATCTGGAGCATGCGCAAGGTTCTTGTTCTTCTGAACTCTCATCTGTTGTACAACTCCTCAAGAAGTTGACCATGAGTGCCGGTGCGATGCCCTCGATGGAAGGGCCGCCCTGCTCACATAGTGCTCGGCACTTCGCTTCAGGGGGGCTCAAGATCCTGAATTCCTTGGGTGCAGGGCCCCAGGCCCCATGGGGTCCCGATTGGCTCCCCGCAGCTGGCGCACCTGGCGCGGCTGGAGCACGTGCCACAGCTTGCGCACGTGGGGCACGTGCCGCACCTGGCACGCTTCGGAATCCATGGCCCCTGGTACACCCATTGGCGCGCATGGCATGTGTGGCGTTCATGAGCGATCTGCTGACACCCTAACGTTACTTATGTGTTGAGTGGGCGGGTGGCAGTGAGCTAAACGGCCGCCTGCTATTTAGGATGGTAGCTTGACCTCTCCCCCCTGCCACCACCCTCTGGGTCTGGAGGGGGGGGTCGCAACCGATTGGAGAGTCTAAGACGGTATCTGCGCGAAGGCAAGCATCATGAATCATGGATGTTAAGTTGGTTTGGGGTTATTTTTGGCGTCCTGGGGGGGTCTAATTTACCCCCCCTCCGTCTCTGATCGATCTCCTCCTAGATGCCCCCGAGATGGCCCCAAAGGCTCGCAGTGCCCTAAGAGGCGCCCAGGAAGCCCCCAAGAAGCCCCCACCCAAGAGACCCCCAAGAGGCCTCCCGAGGCTCTCCCGAGGCATCCAAGACGCTCTAAGAGGCCCCAAGGAACGCCAGGTGGCCCCCAAGACGCCCCAAGAGGACCTCAAGACGCTCCGAAGAAACACTCGAAGAGACACCGAGAGGCTTCTAAGAGGACTCTGGCCATTCTGCACGCCCTCCTCTTGCTCCTCCTCTTCCTCCTCCTCCTCCTCCTCCTCCTCCTCCTCCTCCTCCTCCTCCGCCTGTTCCTCCTTCTCCCACCTTTCTTTTCCCCCTTTTTCCCCTTCCCCCTCACCTTCCTCTCCTCCTCCGCCGAACCTCCTCCAACCTTTCGGGGTAAGACGGCTTCCCCAGCCCGTCGTTCCACTGCATGCTCCTCCACATCCCTGATCAGGGCCTCTCGCCTAGGCATCGTTTCTGGATGGGCTGGGGGGGGGGTATACACGGAGCGTCAAGAATTGAGTCGCTGGGAGGGAGGAGGGTTCCAGGGGAGGGTCGCCAGGGGAGGTTCCATGGGGGCGTCCTGGGAGGGGGGGCCCGGGGGTGATGACCCCCCCCCCAGGGGGTGGTCCCCCCTGCAGAACTCAGGGCCCTCCCTCTCCCACCCGCCCGCACCGGTCCCCCCTTGTGGACGGGGGGGGACAAGAGGTGGTCCCTCCTGTGGACAAAGAAACCTCGAGGCCTCCCCCCTCCCGGCCCCCCATGTGGACGAGGAGCAGCAGACAGCGGCCCCCTCGTGGACAGGGGACCTCAGCACCCTCCCCCTGCCTCCCTCCTGTGAACACGGGGACCACCACCAACGCTCCTCCCATCTCCCAGACCCTGCCCCCCATGGCATCACCCTCCTCACTCTGATCTGCTGTTGCGCGGTGCTACGATTTTCCCCCATACCTCCAAGAGGCCTCAGATCCGCTCCGAGGCGGCTCCAAGTGGCCACGGAGCCCCCAAAGAAGTCCCCAGAGGCCCCCAAACAGAGCACAAGTGGCTCCCAAGAGAGCCCCGAGAAGAGCTCCAGAGCATCAGCGTCGTCGTCGTCGTCGCCGCCGCCACCGTAGTCGTCCCCCTTCAGGGTCGGCGGCACCGGCCGCAAGGCTTTCCCAAGTTATAACTTCTCCACATCTGAAATGCCGATGGGCTGCATTATACGACAATGGATCTAACAAACCAGACCTTGCGTCGTACAAGCACAAGTCGACCAGTGAACGGCGAACTCTGCAGCGCGTGGCTGAACATATCTGAAGGAAGAAGGCTGAATGTTTCTGAGCGCGTTGTTTTCGATTCATCATGAGAGTCGCACGTCCGTGCATGCCAGGAGTGCCAACAGTACTCTGAACGACAAACAAGCCAGCCGTCACAACTTCTATCGAAGGGTGGTCCAGCCATATGCTCATACAACACGAACGCGCACTCGAGCTTATCATCTGAGACCAAAATGTGCAAACATCATCCGCCACACACGGCATGCCTGGATCTTGTGACAGAGCTCGCACACGGAAACCGGCGCTGCCTTTGCCCTCGAACTCTCCTCCTTTGCGCGGGCCTGCGTGCTCTGTCTCACCCCCTGTTGCCCCATTGCCGTGTACGCAGTTGAGCCGCCGCCGCACCTCCGCCTCTCAATGACTTTTATCCTCACGAGACCTCGCCTCTCACAGGCGCGCGCCGTGCCAGGCGCGCCGGCACACCGCGGGATATCGAAGATGTCCCTTGAAAGTGTAAACGGCAAAAAAAAACGGCGACCGGAAACGTCAGCAAAAACGGCTCCAGGATTGGAACCGGAGGGGGAACCCGTAAACCCCTAGCTTCATGAGGCGTGATCATTATCGCGCTCCCAGTGACGTGATTACAATAGCTCCGACTAGAAGGAGCAGTGAAGGAGGAGAAGCAGAAGAAGGAGGAGAAGGAGGATACGAAGGATGAGCAGGAGGAAAAGGAGAACATATAAGTATAATTCGAAGTATAAATAGAAGTAGTAGAAAAGAAGTAGTAGCCGTCATAGTACAAGGGGTACCATTATTAGTATTACCATTGGTATTATCATTATTGTTACTATCATTATTGTTATTAGTAGCAGTAACAATCTTAGTCGTGGTGGTGGTGGTCGTAGCAGTAGTGGCAGTACCAGTAGTAGTAGTAGTCGTCGTAGTAGTAGTAGTAGTAGTAGTAGTAGTAGTCGTCGTCGTCGTCGTCGTCGTCGTCGTCGTCGTCGTCGTCGTCGTCGTCGTCGTCGTCGTCGTCGTAGTAGTAGTAGTAGTAGTAGTAGTAGTAGTAGTAGTAGTAGTAGTAGTAGTAGTAGTAGTAGTAGTAGTAGTAGTAGTAGTAGTAGTAGTAGTAGTAGTAATAGTGGTAGTAGTAGGGCTTAGAAAGCGTCTCGGAAGGCCGCGGGACTCCCGAGCCCTCTGAGAAGGCCCGCCCCTTCTCACTTCCCCCCCGGGCTCGCCGCCGAATGTGGGAGCAAAGGCGTGGTGTCGGAGCACAGTCGGACTTAATTGGACAGGACACGCGAGAGGGTAAAAGACCGTTCCGAGGGCTACAGCGCCATAGGAATGTAGGAGGCATTGGCCGCGAGACACAGGACACGAGGGCACCCTTGCTTTGGCAGGGTCGATCTACTCATCGGGGCCGAGTGTGCCCGGCGGCACAAAAGGGCAGGAGCACGTGTTGGCCCGCCCTGCCTCGCGCCCGTCCCCCGCGCGGAGGCAGGCGCCCGAGGACTCGTTGCTGCGAGCGGCTCCGTGCGGCCCTCTCGGGGAGGCCAGCAGCCAAGCCCACCCCCAGCTGCACGCAGAGGCGACCTTCCACCTCCCCCGCCCCCCTCCTCTTCCCAGCCCCGCAGCTCCGCCTCCTCCTCTCACTCCTCCCCCTCCCCACTGATAGCCAGGCCGATCCTGGGCACACGATTGCCGGATGCTTGTGCGCTTGACGAACTTGCGCCCTCCCGGCTGGCCTGGCCTCCCGCATCGACCGGCTGCACGCAGGAGCGACCCTGGGCAAGAGCGGCCTTTGGTGCGCGGCTTTTTGTGGGGCCGCGGGGGGACCAACACACGAGCGCACAAAACGCTACTGTCGCATCGCGTCCGACGATAGCGGGACCCTTGTGGGCCCGCACCAGGTTACTCGGGCGAGGGGTCACCCGGGCGAAAGGTCACTCGGGCGAAGGCGACTGTAACATCTCCCCTAAGGGGAAGGAAGGAAGATGACTCGATGGGCCTCCTGCCGCCTCCCGTGACGGAAGAGGACGGGACGAGGCTCTGGGAGGCAGCGACACGTGACGTGAAGTGAGGCAGCAGAAGGCACTGAGCACAGGATCAGGCATCGTGCTGCCCCCCTGGCACAGATGACAAAGGAAACGGACGACGGACGAGCGACGGGCATTACAGAAGAACCCGCCGAAGGGCGCGGACAGGTCCATCCCTTGGCAACGGCAGGCCTTTCTGCCACTGCCCCGCGGCGGAACCAGCCGCCGCCTCGCCCGGCACTGGCTGCACTTGGCCCCACGTCCGAGCATGCACTCCAGGCTATCGAGCTGCGCGCTGCAGCGTGGCACCGCTCCGGGGCTGGAGGTGGAGAGGGCGGAGAGGGGAAGCGACGCACATCAACGCGCCCCCGGCCCCAACAGGGCTCGCGCCTAGGGTCTCTCGCCCCTCTCGGGGTCCTGACGCTCGTGTCGAGGGTGCTGAACGTGACCTTCTTCTTCGAGAAGCCCTGCGCGACATCAAGATCCGCCGGCCTCCGACGGCGGCGCTGAGGCCGCGCCTGAAGTCGTGAGCATCGTGTACCAGATCCCCATCCCCAGCGGCGTGGCCTGGGCCCCGCTGGCCCATGTACCCCCGTCGACGGGGAAATAGGTCGCTCCATTCTGATTTCGAGGGGTGTCTCCCCGACTGGGGTGGTGATTTGATGGGAGTCTCGACGGGCATAGGGATTGTTAAGGGGATGAATTCAACGAAACCACGGAGGAGGAGCGCGGGGCGGGGGCTCCGGCCCGAGGGCGGCGCCCTGCGAGGCGCAGGGCGGCCAAGGCACTGCAGGAGGGCGCCGACCGCCCACATGATCCTGGGAATCGACGATTCATTGTGTTTGTGTGTGCTGTTCCCCCTCTTGACGCACGCCCTCCTAGCTTTAGGTCGGGCATGTCCCCCTACAGGCGAATTTTGGACGAAGACTAATCGAACAATGCTCAAAATTACTTAAGTAAGAATGGACAAGTCATTATGAGACTATTCTTTGGGTATTCCTGAATGTTCCTCCCGTAGTGGGGCACGCCCGACTTAATCCTAGTTAGGCCAGCAAAGCAGCAACAGACACGAAGTGGGCACACGCTTCGTCGACCCTTCGAAGCCCCGACGTGCCCCGACGGTCCCGGCGGGGCCCTCAAGGGATACGGCGTCGTGCCTTAGTCGGGCGTGTCCTCCCACAGACGGAATGTAGAGAACACGTAAAATATCAAACACATGCCCAGCAATATCCAAACATGCCGGCAAGAAATCGTCCCCAGGTTATGGTTTACTATGTTTCAATGTTCCTCCTATAGTGGGACAGGCCCGACGTAAATCTTGCCCTGGGGCGCATGGTGACAAACTGGTCTCTTACCTGACGCGACAGCCGTAAACACCAACTGGGCATGGGGCTTGGCCAAGCCAGGTTTTTTGGGTGTTGGAGTAGCGCTCCTCGAAACCGACATCAACCCCATCGCCGTCGGGCCCCACTTCCACACGGGATGGTGCATAGTGAATTCAGCCCTGGAGGCCGAACACCTGCGCATCGTGCCGTACATGGGTCAAACACCGACGACTCTCGGGATATGCCTCAACGCGGCATTGCCAGGCAAACCGTACTCGGATACCATGTTTAAGTTGTAGAGTGTGTTCTTCAGTAAGAGTATGGTCGCATGGTGAATGTCCTCTATCGTGAGCCTGGCCATGAACAGAGTCCTGGTATCCCCCTGCACGTGCGAAGAAACATGTGTGCTTCTAGCAGGCCAGCGTGAAATCCTTCGCTCCACCCGCAATCACACAAAGTCCCCCTCCCAGCAATTGGCAGGGCCGTTTTTTGTTCACCGTGTCCGAAAAAATGCCATTGAAAATGGAAGCGGCGAGTAAATGGCGACCAGAAATGGCAGCGAAAATGGCTCCAGGATCGGAACCAGAGCGGGAACCCGCACAAATGCCAGCCCCGCGCGCCGTGGGAGGGCACAGGGATACCGAGGCCCGCTCCGCGGCCCAGGGGAACGCCGCTCCCCAGACACGAGGTGCGGCGCCCCGAGCGTCGCCCCGGCGCGCGTCGCAGCGACGCCCGAGACGCCAGGGGCGCGAAGAACCCCCAGGGCGCGGGCGGGCGGGACAAAACGCGGCCTGCGGTCTCGCATGGGCAGCGTGCGCGCCACTAGCCTCGCGGGGCCCCCTTTCCCCAGAGAGGCAAACCCACAGCGCGCGCAACCGCGCGCGCGGACGGGCCCCTCGAGGCCGCCCCGACGCCACCCGCATCGCGGCGCGGTGGCCCAGCGCAGCGGGACAAGTGCCCGCCAGCTACACAACATCGGCCAACAGGCCAGCGGCCGCACATGGGCGGACCGCAGACAAGAGAACGCAGGAGCGCAGAAGCGGCAGCCGCACAGGCAGAGCAGCACCAGCATCCCTCCCCCACCCGCGGCCCTGTACCCCGACCCCCCCCCGCCCCAAGGACGAGGAGAAGGCAGGGGAGCAGGGCAGACGCAGGAGCGGCATTCGTGCAAGCCCACAAACGCAGCGACAGTGCGAGCACTGTCCCCGAGTTTGTGGGCCCATCGCAAATGCCAGCCCCGCGCGCCGTGGGGGGGCACAGGGGTACCGAGGCCCCCTCCGCGGCCCAGGGGAACGCCGATCCCCAGACATGGGGCGCGGCGCCCCGAGCGTCGCCCTGACGCGCGTCGCAGCGACGCCCGAGACGCCAGGGGCGCGAATAACCCGACGCCAGATCGTGGCCCTGGTGGCTCGGGCGGCTCCTGCCCCAGAGGCGCACCACCCCCCGCTGTGTGCGCCTGCGGGGGTGAGGCAAGGCACGAAGCCACGTTGCGTTGACCTCCCAAGCGGAGGACGCCCCAGTGCGCTGCGGCTCGATGCACTGCCAGGACTTATAAATCGGATGAGGAGTCGCTGCTGGAAGACTCGTCCAAATGCGCCTGCGAGCGACGATCGCATTGCGGACCGCCTACATGCGGAACGCATCGCGCCTCCAACACGGCGCCGGATTCGAGGTCCTGAGCACTAATGTATTGCAGGAGCGCAGGCGACTGCCACATTCAAGCATGTCATGTGCGCGCCCGCGGCCGCATCGCGCGAACGAGCGCGGGGCCCGAGCCTGCGCGTGGCCGCGGCGCAGGTCATGAGACCGATGCAGCTGTGCCTCCGAGACAGACAACATGGTCAGTATCCTCCGCAGGAGCCGCAGCGCCCTGCAAGGCGTTAAGCTCGGGAATAATTTCTGCCCCCGGGCACGCGTCGCTGCAATCTGGCCGAGCACGTGCGCAGGGCAAGTTTCTGGATGCTTTGCGCACCAGCAACCGCGGACCAGCTCGGTGTCCGACGGCATATTCTTTTTGCTGGCCAAACGCAGCCGCACTTCGTCCCCGGCGACGTACAGGCAGGACTGCACTCCGCCCACGGGCTCGGCCGCGCCCCACACGCATGGGATTGCCTCCGATGGGGCGCGCACCAAGAAACTATACGCCAGTTGGCACATTACTTGCATATCTCTCAGTTCGGCGTCGCGCAAAGCTAGTTTCAACATGCGCGCGACCATACCGCGCCTGATATACAGCTTCTTGCGTGGGACAAACAGCCGTCGCTTCCTGCGCGCGGCGAAAGACCGCGCGACCTGGGCGCGACCGCCCTGCACGCCCCGCAACCGCCTGATAGCAGTACGAGCTCGCGCTAGTTCGGGCGCCTTGAACACTGCCGTGTCCGCGCGGCAGAGCATGCACAGGGTGCGCACGAAGCTCAGATAATTCGCGAACGTTCCGCTGCACCGAAAGAGGGGCGCCCATGCCAATAGAGAATCGAGGGCGGGCGGGATCTGGGCGCCGCCAAGGCCCAGGGCGCCCTCGCAGATCCCATCCCATCGTCGTATTCCGCTTCGCAAGCTTGCAATGGACCGGGGGCATGAGCCCAGCAGCGACCGCACGTGCTCCCTTTCGACCCCATTGGCGCGAGCCGCTGGCGTGCGCAGTTGACAAAACGCGGCTTGCGGTCTCGCATGGGCAGCGTGCGCGCCACGGGCCTCGCGGGGCCCCCTTTCCCCAGAGAAGCAAACCCACAGCGCGCGCAACCGCGCGCGCGGACGGGCCCCTCGAGGCCGCCCCCACGCCACCCGCATCGCGGCGCGGTGGCCCAGCGCAGCGGGACAAGTGCCCGCCAACTACACAACATCGGCCAACAGGCCAGCGGCCGCACATGGGCGGACCGCAGACAAGAGAACGCAGGAGCGCAGAAGCGGCAGCCGCACAGGCAAAGCAGCACCAGCATCCCTCCCCCACCCGCGGCCCTGCACCCCGACCCTCCCCCCGTCCCGAGGACGAGGAGAAGGCAGGGGAGCAGGGCAGACGCAGGAGCGGCATTCGTGCAAGCCCACAAACGCAGCGACAGTGCGAGCACTGTCCCCGGTAAACAAAACGGCGAAACGGAACCAGTAAAAAAACGGCCCTGACATTTCCGAGGCCCACTGAGCTCCCAGCCCCTTGAAACCTACTTCACTTGCATCCCGCCCCCCCCCCCCAATTTCGAAGTCGAGTTCGCGTGCGGACAGGTCTGTCCGATCGAACCCCTGTTCAGAACACAGCCCACATCGCTCCACATCGCTACTGGTCGTCTGCAGCATTGCAAAGAAAGCACATTGGATAACCCAGGGGGCAAGGGTCGCAAACACATGTTTCACAAGAGGGTCGCACTTGAAGGTCAAACACAAAAGAGGCTGAACACGCGACAGCAGCACATAACCGCTGTATCAGTCTGCTTGCGGGCCCAATTTTGATTTCCCTGGGGCCTCTATCGGAACAAAAGCCGAACAATATTGGGAACAACTGTATTGCGTTTGATCCTGGGGCACCTGCCGCGAGAGCGGATTTGACCCAGCACCAGACAGCGGCTGCACTTTCCCCTAAAGGCTCTCTCTCCAAGCCCACCTTGCTAATCCCTCGAACGGCTGACTTGGAACACCTGCGCTCATCACGAATCGGCCTCGTCCTGGGACGTGATTTTAAAAAGGGCTAGAAACAAGGCCCCAGGTGTTGGGCTCAAACGCAGAGGTGGTGAGTTTATGGGGCGAGACGCGATATTTTCATCCTGCCACGGTGGAGACTGCTGCAGGGGAAGGGACCAATCCAGCAGCTCGAATACCAGTCGCGAGGCCGTTGCCGAAAACTTGATGCTCAGAGAGTGCCAGCGTGAGGCGGGAACGTTTGTTCTGGCGCTGCGGCATGGCACCCTTCTTGAACACATTATGGGCTCGGGGGGGGGACTTTGCGTTAAAGCAAGGCTCGGTTGGCTCTACGGAGTCCATCTAGCTATGTAATTTCGTTAATGTGCGCTCCGTCGTGTATTTAAAGGCCCAGAACTGTTGGAGCGCTGCCCCATGTCAAACGCGACGTGGGGAAGCTTGCTGCCAGGGAATGCACGAGCCAGCGCGCGGATTGCGATGCGGCCGCGCGTGCGCGGCTGATGAAGCTATGCATCAATTTGGGCGTTGCTTCCTCCTCCTCCTCCTCCTCCTCCTCCTCCTCTCCTCCTCCTCCTCCTCCTCCTCCTCCTCCTCCTCCTGCTCCTCCTCCTCCTCCTCCTTCTCCTCCTCCTCCCCCTCCTCCTGCCCCTCCCCCTCCTCCCCCTCCTCCTCCTCCTCCTCCTCCTCCTCCTTTTCCACCTCCTCCTCCTCCTCCTCCTCCTCCTCGTCCTCCTCTTCCTCCTCTTCTTCCGCCCTGGGTGGGCAGAAAGCCCATGAAAACACTCTGTGCCGAAAACAGCATGAGACCAGCGCTGGCGAGCGCAGGCCCGCCAACGCTGCGGCCGCACGGCTCTCTCCAGGACCGGGCAAGGGCGATTTGCCCTATCGCCCTGGCAGGATGAGGCCCGATCCACCTCCTATGCTTTATGCATGCCTACACAAGCGAGAGTGGGCGACACAAGCAGAGGTCTGGCAATCGAGTCGCCCTTCGACCCGCGAGAGCGAGAGAGAGAGAGAGAGAGCGCAGTGCGCAGCCGCGAGCGCTCGACAACGCAGGGAGCCTAGTAAGGAGAAGTCGAATTGGCAGGAATCGGAAGGCTAGCAGGCCTCCAAGAAGAAATCGGAACCCAAGTCGGAATTCCAAGTCGGATCGAATCGGAATCGGAGGCCATCGAAATCGAATCGAATCGGATCGGAGGAATCGAAATGAGCCCTGTACAGGGGCTCGGCTCCTCACAAGACCGTCGGGTCTGGCGGAGGGCGCGCGACGGCCAGACCTATTGAAGGAGCCGTCTTCCCAGTCGCCCCTCTCGACCTCCATGGCCGAGGAGTTGCGCCTCGAGCTGTTGTACCACCTCGGCCGCTCAACGAAGCAAGATGCAAGACTGCTTCAAATCTTCGAATGGACATCCGGGATGGTCGGCGCAGACAATAGTTCGGCTAAAAGTCGCATGTGGGCGCCCATTCTGCACCTCGCCGACCTTGCCCAGGACGGGCGTGATGCATAGCCGGCGTCCTCCAATTAGGCGTTTTCTGCTGACAGTAGGGGCGCCACAAAGGACGTACGCGCTCAACCATGTCTAGGAACACGGCCCCCCAATCCGCGAGACCCGCTGCGTGATACGAACGTTCGCGCAATGCGTACTCTCGAAACCAACGTGAACTCATGTAATTACGTGTACATCCATTTTTCTCTCCTGAGTAGCGCTCTCCTATCCTCGACATTTTCTCGTGATCGGCGGCCCCACGACTGGCCAGTACTTGAGCAGGGACCGACCGTCCCCGCATACCTATAGGCCTGCCACGGAACTTTCTTAGAACCAAATAAATTGTTGCGCCAGACCTGCTACTGCCTTGGAACGCAATGCAAAAGAAAAAGAAAAACTAAAATATATGCCATAATGATATATGATATATATATACATATATATATATATGTATATATATATGTGTATATGTACATACATATATATAATCATATGTTCCATTAGTGGTATAATGTAGTGAAACTATGGAGTGATATTAAATGTACGAAGCTAGTAGAATAAGAAACCGAATGCGCACAACATCAACACGCAGCGGGCCGCACGCGGAGGAGGGGGAGGACGCCGAGGAGGAGGGGGAGGAGGCATGGGCAAGCTCCAGGCCCCACGCTCCAAGCTGGAGCCTCCTCGAGGAGCCACCTCCTCTTCCTCCGCCTCCCCCCCCCCTCCCCCCTCCCTCCACCCATCCTTCTCCGCCGCCTTGTCTTCCTCATATTCCTCCTCCCCCTCCTGTTCCTGCTCTTCTTTCTCACGCCAGCCGCTGCCCCCAGCGCTGGGCTCCAAGTCGGGGCGACGAGCCCTTCGTCCTGGCCCGAGCACGGGACCGCGGCCTGCCTCAGGCCCGGCCCGCGCGCGGGCGCTTCGCGGCCTTCGCCAGCTCCAGCAAGCCGCGCTTCTTCGTCCTCCGACGGGTGCCAATCGGAGGATCGAGGAAGGCGGGGGGAGGTCCAAACGCGGGCAGGCCCCGGGCCCACCTAGGCCCCCCTGGGGGCCCCTGAGGTCCCGAGGCAGAAGTTCCCGAGGCCCAGAAAATCCCAGAAGATTGCAATCCTGGTGCCCCCCCTCCTCCCGAGGCCCGATCCCGTGGAATAACGGGGGGCGACGGGGGGTGGGAAGGAAGAGGCTCGGGGGTCGAAGTCAGCAGAAGCGAGGGGGAAGAAAATCAACGAAGGAGAGGGAGAAGGAGAGGGCGGAGGATAGGGGGGGGGGATGGGGGGAAGGAAGAGGCACAGGAGGCGCAGGTGGAGGAGGGCGAGAAGACAGGGGAAGAGAAAGGCAGGGCACAGGAGACAGCGAGTGAGGGCAAGGGAATGAGGAGTCAGAAACGGAAAGGGGATTTCAAGGGGAATCGATCCCAGGGGCGGTCTGCGCCGCCGCCGCCGGCGGCGCCTCCTCCTCCTTCTCCTCTACCTCCTCCTGCTGCGGGGCGGCCTCCGCGGCCGCGGCCGCGGCCGCCAGAGGGGCCGCGGCCGCCAGAGGGGCCGCGGCGCCAGTGGCGGTCTTCTCCGCCCGCCACAGCTCGCCAATGACCTTGGACACCATCTCGATGTCCACCTGGGCTGCAGGAGCGGCGGAAGAAGGAAAGCGGGGCGGGAAAGCGGTGAGACAAGGGGGTGCGAAGGAGGACAGCGAAGAGGAGACGGACGAGAAGGATGATAAGGAGGACGACGACGACGAGGAGGAGAAGGAGGAGGGGGAGAAGGAGGAGGGGGAAGAGGAGGAGGTGGAGGCGGAAGGAAGAGGAGGAGGAGGAAGAGGAGGAGGAGGAAGTGGGGAAGGGGGAGGTGGAAGAGAAGGAGGAGGAGGGGGAAAGTGGGGGGGAGAAGCAGCAGCAGCAAGAGGTGAAGGAGGGGGGCAGACAGCAAGGATCGCAAGCCTTGTTGCCCGGGCCGCGCTCCTTCTCCAGCGCCTCGAGCATGGAGCCGTCCTCCCAGCACTGGAACGCAAACTCCTGCTGGGGGGTGTGCGTGATCTTCCAGGCTTTCAGGGAACCCTTGAGGTCGTTAATGGCCTCGAGAGCGGCCGAGGGCGATCCACGACCCCATCAACGCGAAGAAGAAGGAGGGGTGCCTTCTTCGCGAAGATCTGGTTGTGGATCGTCTTCGGCCACTTCTCGTGCGTGTGGAAGCAGATGAACGTCGTCGCCACCGTCTCCACGGCGTGCTCCTGGGCGTCGCGCCCAGCCTTCATCAACTCGCACGGGATGAACGGGCCGAGATTGTCCTGCGGCGCGGCGGGATCCTCGCGCTCCGCCCCACCCCCTTCACCCCGATCCCATCATCACCATTCCTTCCCCAAGAAACCTCTACCATTCCCCTCCGCTATCTTCCTCCGCACCCTCATGTGTTGATCATTCCTTCCCCCTCCCATATTCCCACTCTCCGCAGTCCAACCGTCGTTGACTTATCCGCCCTCACCCCTCACCCCCCTCACCCCCGGTTACCCAACTTCGCGCGATGCGCGAACTTGGGCAACTGGGGCGGGCGTAGTGGGTGGTGGTGTGCGTGCGTGCGTGCGTGCGTGTGTGCGTGGTCGTGGCGGTGGTGGTGGTGGTGGTGGTGCTGGTGCTGGTGCTGGTGGTGGCGGTGGTGCTGGTGGTGGTGGTGGTGGTGGTGGTGGCGGCGCGTGTGCGTGTGCGCGCGTGCGCGTGTGCTGTGGCATGGCACGGGAAATGGCGCCAACGCTGCAGCGGGAGCACGAGTCGAAACGGGCGGAAGCGCGGAAATGAAGCCACCGCTGCAGCGGGGGCACGATTCGGAACGAACGGAAGCACGGAAATGAGGCCAGCGCTGCAGCGGGGGCACGATTCGGAACGAGCGGGGCCCGAAAATGAGTACGGCGCCTCAGCGAGAGCAGCATTTTGAAACACATGCAAGCGAAAACCCAACTCCCGGGAATCCTGCGTGTAAAAAAACAGGACGCGGAGGGGGGCCGGCTACTCCCAGCACGCCATCAGGGGAAGAGGGAGAGTAGTATTCATATTGAGTAATTGGTGAGGGGGAGGGGGAGGAGGAGGAGGGCGAGGAGGAGGAGGAGGAGGAGGAGGAGGAGAAGGAGGGGGGGAGCAGGAGGAGGAGGGGGGGGGAGGAGGACGAGGAGGCGGCGGCGGCGTCCTTCTGGAAAGCCAATCTTCTCCTTGAGAGCCGTCGCCCAGTCGCCCAGCAACTTGCAAGCCTGATGACGGCGGGGCGAAGGCGCAGGACGACGAGGGGGGCGAGGTAGGGGGGGGGAAGGAGGATCAGGAGGACGAGGAGGAGGAGGGGGGGGAGGAAGAGGACGACGACGAGGAGGACGAGGCTCCTCCTCCTCCTCCTCCTGCCCCTCCACCGCCCAGTCCTCCTCCTCCTCATCATCTTGATCTCCCTCTCCCCCCTCGCTTTCCACCTCCACCCGTCTTCCGCATCCTTCCTCTCCCCATCTCCTATCCCAGCAACCCCCTTCTCTCCGTCCCCCTCCTCCCCCCCCCATCCCGAGCCCCCCCATCCTCTTCCGCCTCTCGGCAGCAGCGGCGGGGGCGGTGGCATCGGCTCCCCGGCCTGGTTCTCGACCAGCGACTTCACCACGCCGCAGTTCGAGAACATCTCGAGCCTGTGCACCTTCCAGTTCGGGCAGTTCTGCGCGATCTGGTCGATGTCCTTCTGGGGCGAGACCGCCCACGCCTTGCCGAGCTCCGCCTGGATGGAGCTCGACTGCTGAGCGAGCGAAGCCGCGAGGCCGCCGTAGTCCACCAAGTCCCGCAAGACGTTCACGTGGTACGGGTTCTCCGTGGGCGAAGCGAGCGGCCGCCAACACCCCACCACGGTGGCGAGGCCCCTCGCAGTCACGCGGAGGCGGGCCACGGTGTCCACGCTCTCTCTCGAAGGCGCCGCACCCGATGCCAAGAGACCCTGCGCGCCCATCAAGCAAGCCGTGACCGAGAAGATGTTGCGGAGGAGGTTCACTTGATTGCCCAAAGTCGCGTCCCCCAAGCTGGCCGCCCAAGCAGCCACTGAACCCCAAACATCTTCAACTGGAAGGCTCGAGACCAGCTTCTCCCAGGCCGCCGCCGGCACGGCAGAGGGGTCGAAGCTGCGCACAGGGAAGCTAGATTCCATGGAGCAGGCCAGCAACTCCGTGACTGCCGACACGACGGGCTCGAGCTTGTTCTTGCCAGCCTCTGTCAGCACACCCATGATCTTCAAGTTGTACGCGCCGCCAGCCACGAGCAGCGGAGACCTGGAGAAGGCGGCCAAACACTCGCTCCAATACGAATCGTTCTCCTGGACCTCGGGCGCGAATGGCTGGGCCACGTCCCTGTTGAAGCCCAGCTGCATCTCCCGGACGACGCCGACCTGCGCGCTCGAAGCCTCCTGCGACAGGAAGGAGTGGATGCTCTTCAACCAGCTGCTGATGCGCTCACATTTCTTCACGGCCTCCACGACTGGCGAGGCCGCTGGGCCTGGGAACGCGACCTTGGAGGCCTCCGCCAAAGCTGCGGCGTTGGCGAATTGCGACGCAGCCCAAGTGTCGAGGCTCTCCGCGTCGCACTCCTTGGTCAACACACCAGCGAAGCAACGCTTCCAAGCTGACAGGACTACCGGGGCGAAGGACTCTCCCACGCTGGCAGCCGTCGGCAACTCCTCCACGAAAATCTCGGGGCATCTGTCGACGACGGAAGCCCTCTGCGAGATGTAAGACCCAACCTGCGTGGCGACCGAAGCTAACTCCGCCTGCTCCACCGCGCCGTCGGGCGACGTGCCTGCGAGGGCAGGCCGCGGAACGATGCCCAGACGTGAGGGAGAGGGCCAGAATGCAGAGGCGCCGACGGCGAG